TACTTGAGAAGGCAAGTGGAGGAGGTAACCCATTAGCACAGACATATTATGATGACGATTGTGAGTTAGAAGTTGTTTTCGAGAGATCGTTCTATGCACACACTACACGTCGGAAGCCTCATGGTTGGGAGAATGATCACCTAACTTTGATAAAAAAGGGGAAGGACAAGTAGGTTTTGGATATTCAATTCGAATTATCATTCATTGATGTCATATGTGACCCTATTTTTGATGAAAGGACAGAAATTGGTATTGAGGCAGCAATGATATCTAACTTTCTCATCAATAGAGAGATAGATAAGTAAGATATCGACCCAAACCCAGAGGAGATTGAGTCTATGGAGATACTTGACGAAAAAAAAGATAGACTCAAAGGAGAATCAATGCGTGAAGTTAGTTCAGTCATAAAAAACGCTCATCTCGAAGACGCTCACGTAGTATGTTACAGGGTTGAGCATAAACAATTTCTATGGATATACAATGACCAATTCCTCGAGAGTTTCTCAATTTATGTACACAATCGTTATGTTTTGATTAGTACAGCAACTCGTAGGTCCCTGGATCATGCTTATAATATTCGGGAAAGCTTTCTATGTTCCCCCTACAACATAGAAGTTCTATCTTCCCCCTACGATCCAGCCATCCATTTTTTTATCAAGAGAGCCATTCACCGTTTGATATTCGATCCGATGTCTCAAAGTATTTTATTTTTAGTTTTTTTAATGCAATTTTTCTGAATATAAACTTTGGTACGTGCCATCTTCTCATTGGGGCACACCTATAAAAAACATTAACAATAATTTTTTGATAAAAAATAATGATCAAAATACCATTTGAAACTTTCAGGGGTATTTTGGTTATTTTATTTTATTGAAAATATTTTTTTATATTTTTAGTTAGTGCAAGTTTAATAGAAGAATGAACATCCAAAATTTGGTGTCAAAAAAGTTTATAGAAAAAAAATTAAAAATAAAATAGTGTAAAGACGTGACATTGTGATTGGGGTAATCTTAGCCCTCCATTAAAAAATGGACCGTTGGATAAGGGGGAGGATAGAACTTCTATGTTATAGGAGAACATAGAAAGCTTTCCATTTTCTTTAATATGAGGTATCTTGATGAAAAAGAATTAGTATGGATGTTCTTTTTGGTTGGTGTTAGTTTGGTCTTTTTTAAAAAGGTTAATTTTTCACATATTAGTTCCTATTTTTGTCATCATTAAGTTGAAAGAGGCTTATCTTTGGGTAGGCACGTGCGTTGGAGTTGGATTTATAAAAACAACCGTGAGGTAAGATTACAAGGCTTCTAGAGAGGGAATAAATCGCAAAAGGACCCCAGTGTAGTGATAGTTATTTTTTATGAAATGAGATAAGGTTATTATACAAAAAAAAATTGAATCATCCTTTTACTAAAAAGGATGTTCAAGTGTATAACATCCTTTTACTAAAAATTGAATCATCCTTTTACTAAGCAAAATGGAAAACCACTTCCCATATTTATCATAAAACATAATTTTATTAAAAAACCATAGTTTTATCGAAAAAAATAATTTTGTTAAGCAAATAGAAAAACAGTTCCCATAGTCATCAAAAACATTTTTTTTTTATTAAAAACATATTTTTATTTAAAAGATAAGTTTATTCAGCAATATAAAAAAAAAACTTCCCATATTGATAAAAAAACATAATTTTACTATGCAAAATGAATTTTTTTTAAGTAAAAATCAATTTCTCAAAATGTGAGGGATGATTTGAAATTAAGATCACCTTTGTAAAACTCTCTCTCTCTCTCTGGAATCGGGCCAGATAGGGATGAACCAGTGATAGATTCTGAGTTAGTCAGTCGATTTTCAAAAAAATTGGCTGATCGTTTAAAGACTCTTTCCAT